GTAGACTCGACTTACAAATCTGGGAAGGTGCTTTGACAGTCCCGTGCCCACGCCGGACGATCCCCAAGCCGGAGATCCTGAACGTGAATTGGGTCGGTGATGCCTCGACTTCCTACGGCATAGGCATCATAATCGGCCGCCAATGGGCTCGATTTCGCCTCCGTTCTGGTTGGTCAGCGAAAAACTTAAACGGCGGAAAGCGCGGTATAGCGTGGGCTGAGACAGCGGCCACGAGGCTAGGCTTCATCATGCTGATGACGGTTTGCGAGGTAAGAGGCAAACGATTCCTAATGCTGACTGACAACACAGTCACGGAAGGTGCCATCAGGAACGGGAAATCACGTGATCAAACGGTAAATAGGGAGTGGTCAAAACTCCAAGACTTACTCATGGCCAACCACAGCTGCATAGAGGCGAAACGAGTGCGCTCCGAAGACAACGCAGCGGACAAGCTGTCACGGGGGTTCGATTCGTCGAAACGCGCCTCAGACAGGATATGGATAGACGTGCCAAGAGACCTACGGCACCTGATCCACCAAGAGTGAAACACGTAACGTAAGACACACGCCGGCACGGAGCGATGAACCCTCCAAGCTGGGAAAGACTTACTCAGATAGTGCTCGTCAATCTTTCCTTATTCCAGATGCCGAACCTCCCTCGTCACTTCGCGGATGCCGCAGCGACAACTTCGAGAGCGGGAAGACACGCGGCCAGCGGCAGTTGGGCATGTTCGACCTTATCAGGCTATTCAGCGGGAATGACAAAGTTCATCGAATTCAAAGAGAAAACGAGCGGAGCTTTTGACGACGAAAGACAGATATCTAAACAAGAGATCTACGACTTTATCGCGTGGGCAGGAGAGACGAAAGAAGACGTACCGGACGGGCCAAATAGAACGATTAGCTCGGTCACCATTAAGAAGTACCTTGACGGTATCCGCGCATGGCACATTGTCAAATTCCTGTGCAAACCTCCCACCGACCCAGACATCGTACGAACTCTCCTAAACGCATCGCAGCGGAAAGAAGAAAGCAAAGCGTTAGTCACGGCGAAACAACCAATTATGATCTGTCAATTGTTCGAGCTACTGCGGCAAACTCACGGGAAATCAGAGACAGAGGAATTGATCGGGGTAGTGGGATTAGTAGCGTTCTGGGGGATCACTCGTCTAGGGGAACTGCTGCGACCGTCAGCAGAGGAAGGCGCACTGCTAAGACGCCATGTCGAGTTCGGCTCCAAGAACGGATCCAACTACGCACGACTACACCTCCGTAATGCAAAAACCGCCAAACCTGGCGAGATTCAAACCATCCACATCCAGCAACAGCTAAACGTTCTGGACCCGGTGGCGGCATTGCATCGGCTGCTGAACAAACGCCCCGGTAGCGACCCTGACGAGTTACTGTTTACGGCGTTCGAGGCGGGTTCGATGAAGGCCCTATCGAAGACCAGATTTCTAAACGGTGTCGAGAAGATATGGGGAAAGTCAAGTATCAAGACGTGGAGCGGACATTCGTTTCGCGTTGGGGGGGCCTCATTGCGATTCAACATGGGAACCAAGTTAGAAACTATAGCACGTCAGGGAAGGTGGACTTCAGCAACGTACCACCGGTACCTCAAACCATACTCACCTGAGGATACAGTGGATACACGCAACTTCCTCGCCGCCGTGGAAGACGTCGACTGGCCTGATAAAATGACCAGAGAATTAGCGAGCAGCAATAGGCCAAGTCAGCAATAGGAGAGATTTACCTCGAAATGCAATATCACAGATGGCGTGGCTTAGAGTTTGAACGTGGCGTTAACCTTAAGCCTTGATGCGAGAGGAAGAAGATTGAAGAAGTGATCTTCAATTGAATCTACTGAACTGCTGATTGGCGCCTCAGACGACCCGATTTGCGTATGTGGGGTGTGACCGGGGCTCAGGACGCTCCATCGAGCATCTGAGGTAGGGGCTTCGGTCACACGCTCCGCGATCGAGTCATCTGGAGGGCGGGTGGGAGAGGTGAGGGCCCCGGCCCCGGAGCCCTTGGTTCTCGGAAACCAAAGTTTGGTTCGAGCAAACCAAGAGTCCCGGGCCGGGGGCTTTCACCCCCCGTACCACGCTCACTTGACTAAGGTAAGGTGAGCGTACCATGGGAGATGTTCACGCTACCTCTCTAGGTACCAGCTCAGTACTCTTCGCCATGAGGGCAAAGGGTACGAAACGCTATCACATCCATAGCTGCCCAAAGCAAGCTGAGAATGGATTGAAGAAGGCAGTAGTAGGCATCTTTTACTAGTTACATATCAGTAGATTATCCCTTCTTGGGCATTGTGCAGCTCTTGTGTAGCTTTAAATACTCCAGAGCTCTAGGCATGCCCATTTCTCTTGAATTTTCTTGAGGACAATTCATCTGGCTTCCCCAAATCTCATTCTCCATCTCTACTATACTTGTGTTTATAACTTGCGGTCTTGGCTGATCTCTATTTTTTCTTATTGTCCATATTTTATGCTAACAGTTCATACAACTTAGCATAAGATACATGCTAGGTTGAGGGGGTCTCATGAGCCTGGCTCTATCCAGGACCGTCTTTAATATAGTCTAGACAGCTATTTGCCCTGGTAGTGCCCTGCCCATAAGCCCAACAGAAGCTAAGGACACCAGAGTGTCACATCCTAGCCTAGGGAGGTGGGTGGGTGAAGGAAAGTGAAAAGTTTAAACACAACTGATGGCTAGTGATCAGGATCTAATGGTGTTCTTTGAAGGGCCAGAATGTGGTGTTCTGAGGGTGAAATATCTTTGCCTCAGAATTCCATAGCTTCTTTGCGGTCCTGGCCTCCTGTCACATCCATAACAGGAGACCACTCTTTGTGTGGGTCACACTCCCTCCGATACTATGAAAATCCTTCACATGTTGTGCCTTTGGTGTGAAGATATCATGTAATACTAAAAAGATCATCTTAAATGGTTTCAAACTCAAAACATTGATGCCTTTGGTAAATATCATAGTATTTCCCAATCACCAACAATAACAAAAACCCCTTCAAGTCTGATA